CAGTTTAAAATCATAGGCATTTCACCAATGGCCTTCTCAATCGAGTCTGCAAGTGCTACCACCCCACCCCCAGAGAGATGTACCCCATCCCTTGCATACATATCATGTTTGCCATAAAAGTTGTTCCAGTTGTCAATGAATGGGATTGCAAGTTCCTTGCAGTATCTGTCTAGCCAGCAATTTACACCAATTGCCCTAGACAACCATTCATTTCCTACTCCCCTTCTAGGCAAGATGCTACATATGATTGGGATCCCTCCCTTAGACTTAATGAAATCTATAGCTGACCTTACTTATCTAGCAGCTCTTCTCTCCTACCCTTCCCAATATCATTTCCACCACACTGAGACAGATAATGGGCTTGTTCCCATTACCTGACATGATATTATCCAGCCTGTTGACAATGTCCCCAACACCAGCTCCAGGGAAGCACACACTATCTCTCATCTTCTTATTCCTATTACAAAAAGCACGGTCAATATATCTTACCTGAGAGTCACCAACTACAAGAATGCGCTTACCTCCATTAGCAGGGCAGTAGTACCCTTACCTTCACTGGCCACTGAAGTACATTCATCCTGAAGAACAGAGAAGCGATTTCCTACCTTCAGATCTTCACTCTTAACTTTCCTTACTCTGATGCGCCTTCCATCACTGTGAACCACTCGCCACTTGTAGCAGGTGCTGGACTGCGCAACACCCGGGCATCCCCATCATAGACGTTTCGCCATCCACTGGATGGCGAAACGTCCACAACAAAGACAACCAGACGCCGCACATGTGTCTTAATTTCATCAGTAGTTGTAGTAGTAGTAGAAGAAGAGGTAGTAGTAGTGCTAGTGGTAGAAGTGGGAAATAAGGAGGACGTTTCGCTCTCCAGAGTAGCTCCTAGAAGGTGAAATGTTTCCATAATAAAATGTCACATCAGTTGCATCTGTGTCCATTTACCTAACGGATTTATTTGCTTTTATCATTATGTGATTTATTATAGCTTTGTGAACGCTTCCCTAAGATACCTTGGTTATTTTTATTCCTACCGTCTTGAGTGCTGTAACACTTTTGTTTCTTACACCCACACCTCCATCTTCAGTCAGTTTAAAGTCTTCTACAACTCAGCAAGGGTCCCTCTAGACCGAACTGGCCTAGGTTGTCACCTCTGCATCAAAGAGATGGACCCAATCCCTTGCATACATGTTTGCATGGAATTTATCCAAGTTGTCAATGAATGGGACTTAAATCTATAATTGTCCTGGTTAATAATTCCTGCCTCCTGCATTTCCCAGTATCGTTTGCACCAACACTGAGGCACATGGTGGGGTTGCTTCCATTTCCTCACATGCTATCTACCCTGCTACATCACCAACTTCAGCACCAGGGGAAACACATTCCTGTCTTACCTTCCTATCCCTGTTACAGAACACTTGGTCCATGTATCTAGTCTGTGAATCACTCACAATTAGAACAGTCTTACCTGCATTAGCAGAGGGATTAAGGGTAACTTACAGTAGAGTAACTTTTACACTCGTCCTGCAGTACAGAGGATCTATTTCTCACCAAGCCTTCTTCCTCCACCTATAAACCACTTCCCACTTGCTACTAACAGCCTCCTCTTCACTGCTGCTACCCTGCTTCCCTTCACAATCACCAACCACTTTACTCATTATAGCACACATCTATAAACGATTTTTTTTCAATTTATTTTCCTCCTTGAGAAGTAGAACCACCTCCTCCTCTAAGACCCTGAACTCCTATTTTAAAACGCTACAAGAGCAAGCCATGGTAACACTGACTCCCTAATAACAGCTATAGACAGGTAATGTGACCACTCCTGACCACCGACCTCACTGAGACGCTTCATTCCTACAGGAATCTTGAATTTTGGAGGTGGCACTTAGCTGTGGTATCAGAGAGGTAAATTCAAGTGTTAGAGTTTCATCAAGTGCGACGTCTTATGTCTTATGAGGAAAGAGCAACAGGATCACACTTTTTCACTTGAATTTGTTTTGTTCGAAGATCAGTGTGACTTTGCAACATGTGCACGTAGTTTTTACTGCCTGCGACTGACAAAAACTTATTTAAGGGACAGCAAGGGTAACAGCAGGACGAGTAATATTACAGTTACATCTATAAAATCGGAAAAAAAAAAAATCAAGAGTCTGAACACTGAAGGCATCAATGATAATTTTATTTCCAATCATAACAGAATAATTTCAGTGCTACAACTTGCTAGTCACTCTGAGCCTCGCAGCTGAGATTAGGTGAATATATCATGTGTTATATATTCTTACATCAGTAAGGCCAAGATGAACTTTATTTTGATGGCTTACATACTGATGTAATTTCATGTAATGATTATTCGTATTCTTTGATGCAGAAAAACAGTTTTCTCTTAGAGAAGCGTGAATAAACAGATCTTTAGAAAACATTGTTCTTATTAGCGATCCATAATAAGAAACACACAACTTTTATTAATTTCTAATGAAATATTTTTCAAAAGGTCATTGGTGATAAACCTAATTATTGCCCAGTACCAAATAATAAGCGCCCCTTCACCCCAGATGTTTACTCCAGAGGTTTTTACCTGTAAGTCTACCCTCCCCCCCAACAAGCTAGCCACCCATAAGTTCCCCTCGGTATAGAATTACTAGCCTGCTCGCATGGATCGGTAGGCCTGCTGCAGTGTTCCTTCTTCATGTTATGTTCCCTGGCTACCTTGAAGCTTAAGTTCTCCTCGGTATGTCCTGTGGGTCCCGTAACGTGGATTGGGTAACGACACTCACTTAGTCAATAATGAAGTATATTAAAACGGAATGTATGGGAAGCGCCAGCCTGACCTGCGTCTCCGCTCCCTATCCTTCGACCGACTCGCCAGATGATTCTAGAGGGTGAGCGGCATTCAAAACATGCTAGGGTCAGCTGTAACAGTGAATAACAAGTGATTCACACAGACGGTTGGTAGTCATACTACTGGTACTGGTACTACTGAGAGCTCGGCGACGCTAATGTATATCATCCCGACATACAGCTAATACAAATTAGAGACGACAGGCTTACGGCTTGGGCTGATTCTATACAACGTCAAAGTACACAACTGAACATTACAACATACATAAGGAGAATATCGGAATGGAAGCGAACATAACTTACTGTAATGAAACTTACTGTAATGCATTACAAGGTATGATATAGCGCAACTCACAGAATGAGACATTTGGATTACACAATAGAAGTGATAAAAAAAAGTTGATCGATCGATCTTTATTCATGTGATCTACGGATTCTGAGGAAGGATATGTACAAAGAAAGAAGTGTTTAACAGAAAAGGCAGACTTGGTGCAATCAAATCTAGACTGCTAAATCTCAGAATTTGGAGAGAACGTTAACACACAAAAAAATTCTTGAATATTAATAAGTTGATGTTGTAGGAGACAGTAGAAATTCTTCTATACAGGTTACTTACATTTAACCCAAACTCTGCTAGGGTGAAATTGACATAGCAGAATGGGTGTCATCTCTGGAAGAATCAAACTCTGTTGCACTGTTTAACTCGTGTTGTATTTGAGGCAGCTCTGAATTGGTAGTTACAAATGATACTTGAGGATTTCTCAATACCTGTCGTGTACGTAGGGAATAACGACATTCAGGTTGATCGTCTGAGTATTAGAGGTAGAGGGTACAGAGTCAGGAGGATTGTCAGAGGCTGTTACATAAGTCTGGGTTGGAACATCATTCTCATCACATATTAACTTATGATCTAAATGCGATTCTTTATACTGACTAGTACTAATTTCTCTAACCTTATACTTATTGCCACTGATATGCTCAACTACTCGATAAGGACCAACAAACTTTTGATCAAGCTTAGGGATTGCAGACGTTTTGTTAAAGTTAGTCAGCATAACTCTAGCCTACTGTAATTTTGGACGGCTTTGCTCGAGTGTTAGCGACTCTTGTAAATTCTGCTGTTGATTTATGAAGTGTTTCACGGATTCTTCAGAAGACACTGAGCTAAGCTGGTACGAGTTGCTATGGAATCATCAGGGTTGTAATTTGGTTTTGGGTTAGAATATAACTCATAAGGCAAACGTTTATCTACACCGTACAATGCATAATGTGGAGTGTCACCTATAGAACCATTGTAAGCAGAATTCATAGCACACTGCACATCGGGTATAACTTCATCCCAGGTTTCACTGTTGGGATTGAAAGTGGCTCTCAAGACATCAAGTACTTTCTTATTGGTTCGTTCCGCTAACCCATTGCTGGCAGGATGATGAGGAACAATGGTGGATTTAGAGATCTTGTACAAGGTACACAAATTTTCAAGAATATCATTACAGAATTCACCTCCATTATCTGTTACTAGGGACTAAAGGTGGTATGCCTGCAGATAATGCGTTCTTTAAACGCTTTAGCTACCGTCTCGGCAGTCTTCTTTGCAACAGGAACTAGTATCTGGTGAAATGATCTCCCTGGAGGGAACATTGGAAATTAGTTAACAGATGTAGCGCAACTCTTTCCCACGGTTCGTTATGTTCCCTGGCTACCTTGAAGCTTAAGTTCCCCTCGGTATAGAATTACTAGCACCTTCCCTGGCTATCTTGAAGCTTAGACACATGTGAAACAGTTGGGTATCTTTATTAATGAAATGTTTCGCTTCTTCGGTCAAATGCAGAGACAGCAGTAGAAATGAAATAAAGATGATGTAATCAGTCCAACCTTGGCGGTCAGTCCCTCAGCCTGAAGAAGAGTTCAGCTCCATGGAGAGGTGCGCGCGCACCTCTTGGAGGTGCCCACACACCGAGCTTGGAGGTGCGCACACGCGCACACACACACACACACACACAGATCATGGAGGTACACACACAGATCATAGAGGTGCACACACACACACCGATCATGGAGGTGCGCAAACACACTAATGCATAAATACACAAACCCTAATCTTACTCACCTGAAAAAACTTAACACACTCACCTGAGAGAAGTTAACACACTCACCTGAGAAAAGTTAAGACCATTGAGTGGAACACACTGCTCCTCGACTCGCTCCACTGCACCAGTACGCTTGGTGAGTCTCTCAGCCTCCTGGGCCAGGTAGAGGTCGAGTACTGGCACTCCGCGGCTCCTGATGTCACTCTCCGTCAAGGAGTTGACCATCAGCATCACCCATACTGGTCGCTTCCTCTCCCAGTTACCTGCAACCACAAACACAACCTTACAACCCCTTCATACTGTTCCAGTATATACCTTTGAAGAGTTTCGAGAGTTAATCTACTCTCTGAGTCCGGCCATGGGCCAGGCTCGTCTGGTGCTTGCCCGCTGCCTCACATATCCATCACAGCCTGGTTGATCTGGCACTCTGATCACAAACATTTATTTTAGGCCGGAGGAGAAACGAATCTACGAACTTTGGGACACACACATATATATATATATATATATATATATAATATTATATTATATAATATATATATATATTATAAATATATATAAAATATATATAATATATATATATATATATATATATATATATATAAAATATATATAAAATAATATATATATATTATATAATATATATATATATATATATATATATATATATATATATATATATATATATATGTATGTATGTATGTCGTGCCGAATAGGCAGAACTTGCGATCTTGGCTTAAATAGCAACGCTCATCTTGCCATACAGGACAAGTGAAAATTTGTGTATGCAATAATTTCGCCAAAATCATTCTGAATCTAACGAAAAAAAATATATTTCACTGTGTTTGTTTAGTGTTAAATTATTGTAAACAAATATAAAATATATTTAGTTGGGTTAGGCTAAAATAAATTGTTCTTGTTATAATAAGGTTAGGTAAGTTTTCTAAGATTCTTTTGAAGCAAAATTATTTTTTTTACATTAACATTAATGAAAAAAATGTATCTTTAAACGTATACTAGAAAATTTTAGAGGACTTAATTTTAAATGAGTTCTTGCTAATTGACCAGTTTTACATATTCGGCATATATATTATATATATATATATATATATATATATATAAAATATTATATATATATATATATACATATATATATATAATATATTATGTGCCGAATAGGTAAAACTTGCTATTTTGACTTAAATAACAACGCTCTTCTTGCCGTATGCAATAATTTCGCAAAAATCATTCTGAACGTAACGAAAAAATATTTTCATTGTGTTTATATTAAATTATTGTAAACTTATCTAAAATAGATAGATTAGGCTAAATTAAATTGCGCTTGTTATAATAAGGTTAGGTAAGTTTTCTAAGGTTCTTTTGGTACAAAATTATTAATTTTTACATTAAAATAGATATATTTTTTCATTTAAAAGTATAAGAGAAAATTTTAGAAAGGACTTAATTTTAAAAGAGTTCTTCCTAACTGACCAATTTTACCTATTCGGCACGACATATGTATAATATATATTATTGTAACCACGAACGAGTGGTATTTAATCAATAACAACACTGCGACTAGCCGAGGATTCGAACCCATGTCGTTTTGGACTGCCTCATGTTGAGCAAAAATCACACATTACGCTCTAAACCACAGGACCACGCAATCCTACAAGAATCAAGCACCCAGCAGAGCTAGGTGCTTTAGCCTGATCCAAGGACATACGGTGGTGTGGGTGCCTCTGCGATTTCATTCTACTCCCCGTTTGGTGTACTAGCCTCCACGAGCAGTGTATTATACTGTAACCAAGTACGAGTGGTGCTGAATCAATAGCAACACTGTGACAAACTGGTTTAAAAGGACACGTGAGCAAAACTTTGACATATTTATATGAAAAAGTTTCGGTCCTGGGACCTTAATCAAAGTCCAAGGACCGAAAATTTTTCTAACATGTTGTGATGTAACTTACTGGTACATCAACCCTCGCAGTTTACATATTAATCACAAGTGACAGAGGCAATCCTCCTCTCCCCCTCGAACTGTCCCTGGTTAGTAACTCCCCTGGGCACTAGTAGTTGAGGCAATCTCTGGCCCTGGCTCCCTCCCTGGGTAGTAGCTCCCAGGGGAACCTGATATCCATGGCAGATTACCCCTGGGGAACCTTATGCTGTGATCATACCAGCGTCTCCGTCACTCCTCTCATGAATCTTAATTACTGCCTCATCAATCTGCGACTCCTCCCTACCCTTCCAACATATTACTTCCAGCCTTTGATTACAATAAAGGGACTGATGGGGAGTTGAGGAAGGCAGCATGGGGATGGACGGCTGATGGGTGAAGACAGAAGTAGGGTGAAGCGGGAGATCTGATTATTTTGCCACCGAAGTGGCTAGTTTATTGTGCACCGCGGGAGAGGGTGGATAGGTAACTATTGTGGAAACGTTTCGCCCATGTTTTTTATCACTTCCATGCAGACAGAAAAGCAGGGAAATACAAAGCAGTGTGGCTGTCAGTTGTAGTGTAGGCGAGGTCAACAACAAAATGGCTGAAGTCACCTGACAGCCGTGTCCTGACAGACTAAAATCAATTTACCCCAAACTCTGGAGATACTGAAGCTCCTCCCATGTTATGTACAACTGAAGTGGCAAGATAGATGTCTGAAGATTATCGACGGTGTTCATGTAAATCCTGTACATAATTGGTTCAGAGAGCCGACATGTAAATCCTCTTCCTTGAGGATAGTTTAGCATTATTCTACTTCATCAAGTGGTCGTGAATATTCCTGTATTGAGAAGGATATATAAAATCATTTTCATATATAGGTATTATTAGTATTATCAGCACAGGTGTTTTATGGTCATTGTGTCTACTTGTCACTCCCATATATGCTAACTAGCACTCTCCACCTGGTAGACAAACATTATCTTTGATTTCAACTAGGTATGTGAATGTCTTGTTAGTTAAGTCTAATGCTGGTACCGGTGGTAGTGGTAAGTCTAAATTACACTTAAGGGAAGGTACTGGAAGTGCTATTAGCCACCTTACTGCTACGGAGGGTACTAAATCTTTATTGGGATTTGTCAAGCAAGGGAGTGCTATACCTGTATTATACCTGGCGAGGGTTTCGGGGGTCAGCGCCCCCGTGACCCGGTCTGAGACCAGGCCTAGTGGTGGATCAGGGTCTGATGAACCAGGCTGTTACTGGCCACACGCAAATTGACGTACGAACCACAGCCCGGCTGATCAGGTACTGACTTTAGGTACCTGTCCAGAGCCTTCTTGAAGACAGCCAGGGGTCTATTGGTAATCCCCCTTATGTATGCTGGGAGGCAGTTGAACAGTCTTGGGTCCCTGACACTTGTGTTGTCTCTCAGTGTACTCGTGGCGCCCCTGCCTTTTGTTGGAGAAGTATTGATCTCCAGAGAACGTTGTTTGTACTTCTTTCATTTAACTCATTTTTTTCTATGTATTCAGGGCTGTATATCGTGTAGAAGTGAAGGTCCTCAAACAGAATTCTACAACAACTATACGTTTCGTCTTGTGTTGGTCCAATTGGAAAAAGCATTAAACATATGTAATGAAATGGTAACTGTCTTCGCTAGTGTAGCTGACAATTTTCTGGTCAGTTGAGCAGTGGTGCTTTTGTAGAGCTGCATGCTGCGAGCACCAACAGCTTACTGCTCAAGCTGATAGCAAGGAGGCTAGCTCTAAGATGATGCCGTGTGACGATCCTCGTAATGGGAGGACTACCTACCTACCCGGAGTCTACTCGTGAACCGGGGGTCAACGCCCCAGCGACCCAATCTTTGACCAGGTCAAAGCTGACTGATAAAATTTCAATAACATCTTGATATATCATCGACCTCTGACTGTCTTCTGTCTTCCAGGTACTCTTATGTACTGGAGCACCTGTATCTCTAGTGTGTCTCCGGGTCTCCGGTAAGGTACCATATAAACAGTCTTCTAGCAGTTGCGAAACATGCAGTGTGCTATCACGTCTATCCTGCGTAATCTCTGTAAGAAGAGCTAGCAATCTTTCAACCAATTTCCAGGTCTCTTCTACATTACCAGTCCAGCCTGAGGCAACGCTTCTAAAATTATTTACCCTCCAGTAGTTCCACTAGTTTTATCTTGTCTTCGTCTCATGTGCATACAAGATGGCAGGTAAATCTTTCAAACTCCATTTTACATTTAAAAAAAACCTTGGCTATATTTTACTGTTTTCTTAACAGTTCCTCTTCCTGTAACATTTAGTTTTCTGTAATATCTGATCTGAGACCGAACTGTGGGGACGATGATCACCGGAACCGTTAACAGATGACCTAACATGTTATGTATGTAGGGATGCTAGTATGTGCTTTACAACTTCATCTCTTTGTATCCTTTCTTGAAGACTTGTACACGCTGCCTAGGTTCCACAAGGAAGGTTCCTTGATGTTGGTGAGGGGCTCTTGATTTAGGGAATTGGATCTGTGCTCCAGTTCCCCGAATTAAGCCTCAATGCCTTCCACATCCCCCCCCAGGCGCTGTATAATCCTCCGGGTTTAGCGCTTCCCCCTTGATTATAATAATAATAATAATAATTGTACACGCTGCCTATGTTCCACATGTTCGGTCGGTCGGTCGGTCTCTCTCTCTCTCTCTCTCTCTCTCTCTCTCTCTCTCTCTCTCCCCTCTCTCTCTCTCTCTCTCTGTCTGTTTCTTGCTACTGGCTTCTGCTTCATTTCTACAGTAACCAAGGTCTACGTTGTGTCAATCTTTCATAGGCGTTGATGTCCACTCGCTTTTTCAATATTTAACAACTTTTCATGATTTTCACTATTCCGTCTTGTATACACATGTTTCTGCGCGACCATCCGCAGGGTGGATATGGGGTACAAAATAAACTAGGAACTTCGACGACAAAATCTAAAATCTAATCCTTCTTGTGAAGACAACTTGTCACTGTGCATCGTCAAAGCAGTTTGTCCTTCAAACATGTCTGCGGGAATTTTCCTGCTCCATACCCCTTGCAGCCTGGTCTTAGACAAGATTTTTCCGTTGCCCGCCTAGTCAATTAAGTTGTTTGTGCTACCGGTCAGTAGGACCACAGCCATCACAATCTGGCTCCAGGGCCTCCAAGAGAAATTTTGAAAGATGAAAAAAAGACTGCTTTGGGCCCCTTGGGACAAGTTACCACGGGTAAACTTTCTGCTGACATTACTGTAGCTGGAATATTCTCAAACACAAACATTTGGAAATCTCTCACTAAGTTTGT